AAGTATACAATATTTAATGTACTCATAAAATAGCAGATAATATGGAATTAAAACTATTATAATTTATAAATAATTATAAATCTTTGATATTGTAGGGTGGCCAGCGGCCACCCTAATTAATATTAAAAATAATTGTCACTTAATTATAATTGTGCTCACAAAATATATATTTTATTGAAAGTAAAGTTAACACTTTGAGTTACATAAATGAATTGATTTTAAAATAATATAACTGTAAAGCATATAGTTAAATAGGCAATAAGCAAGCTTTGTTAAAATACAGTGTTACAGTGTAGTAGTGCTTAAAATATGTAATACATGTACATTAATTCGTGAAATAAAACAGTGAAAAACAGGATATTAATTAACATATATTTTAGATGTCATAATAATGATTACAATATAAAATAAAATAACTATTCATTTAATCAAATTATTTATTGGATAAAATACAATTAATTAGATAAATAACAGGATATTTGTTTGACAAATACATTAGTATTCAAATCAAATTGAAAAATAATAGTCTATTCAATAGACTCTATTGTCAATAGAAATCCTTAAATCTTTAAATATTAAATTGGAAATTAATTATTGGATATTATATAATGAGAAATATTTATCATTATATTTAGATCATTTTTAATGATCATTACATAAATAGTTAAACATAAAACTTTGAAAAACAAAATTACTTTTAAGACAAAAATAATTATTACTTGAATTGAAGCCAAACTTTTCATTTTATGCATTTCGCATCCGAAGAGATATATGATGGATACCTGACGGGAACCAAGCGTTCGTTGTCTTTGATTGGTGGCAACGGTATCTTCGGTGCCTCCACTTTGAGGACACCCTTTGAGTCCAAATGTGAGACAACAGTCCCGGCATCGCATCCCTCGGGCAGAGCGTAACGACGGGTGAACTCACGTGAAATCCATCCGTGATTATCACTTTTCTCTTCGTGTCTGCCGTGAACTGAGACAGAATTGCCGACAGTTTTCACTTCGATCTCTTCGGGCTTAAAGTGACTGCAATCGAGTCGTACGGAGAACTGGTCAGAGGTGTTGGAGACCTGCGATTCGCCGCTCTGTCGGGCCAACTGGTGTCCACCGAAATCCTGACCGAAGTGCTGTCCGAAGATAGACTGCGGCCATTCCCAGACATCCCAATAGTTACGGCCGCATCGGTGCGGATAAAACGGATTCAAAGCCATAGTTGTAGTTATTTTTCGTGACTCGGAATACAATACAATAATTAATTTTAATTGTTAATAATTATTACAAATAAATAATTGTAATTATATTTACAATTAATAACTTTTTTTCAGTGATTTGTTTCGAGAAATAGTTTGTTTCAAAACCTTTTAATGAGTTGTGAAGCGAAAGTGCGATCTCTTTATATACGGTTCTGCAGCGAAGCCAACGAATCGCATAGAATCGTATGGAAATGTCTAGAAATGTTGTGCAGTGAAGAGCGCTTCCAGAATATTCTACACTTATTATTAAAGCTGCTCAGAATATGTTTTTAAATATATTTATTGGTTAAGGATATATGTTTAGAACTTTGGGGGCAAACGAATTACATAATAAGGGTCATTTTAACAAAG